GGTGACATGTTTCCCGTCCCCTATGATCTACGCCCATGGTTCAAACAAAAGGCAAATTAAATAAGAAGCAGCAAAATAGTGATAGATTTTCTGTACTTATAAGTAATTGTTTATCCCTCCAGTGAGTGTATAGATGTGAAATGCATCTATCTGTATGTGTAAAGTCCCCTATTAAATACACACTTGTACATTTCTATGAATTTTAATTGTCACAGTTGAATAAGATGTGATGTGATATGTTAGTTTACACTCTTGCATTGGGAATACAACGCTGTTATTTACAAAATAGATGTACTGACAGTACAGTATATGCATCTTACAGAATATGGTTTTTATTTTATAACTATATATAATTTTTATACTTATTTACTAAATAATTTCTATTTTTAATTATTTTTGTTAGTGAAAGTAGCAGTGATGCTATCAGTAAAACGTCTCGCTGCTCACTTTGTCTGGAAGAGCGCCAACATTCTACAGCAACGCCGTGTGGCCACCTATTCTGCTGGAAGTGTATTATGGAGTGGTGTTTAACTAAGGTGAATTGAAAATCTTTCAAAATTTATTGTAATTTTTCATCATGGAAACATATTATATTGTAAATATTGCTTTAATTATTCTTAGAAAATGGAATCCATTTAATTATGAGAAAAATATATTTCAGACAGTGGCAAGGAAAAAATCTTGAATGTCATGAAATCTTTGAACAAAACCTGATTAAGGTCATAATATTGGCTGTTGTATTTGATGCTGACTGTTGGTTTAGCTCTCATTTGTGATTTATAGAGGGCGCTGTAATCTTTCGATATGATGCTTAATTTCGTAGTTGGGAGCAAATGCAGCCTTTAACTTAATTACTTAATCATTTTGCTTGTGCTTTGCATTAGATTTTGAAGGACGGTGAAAAGTATTACTTTTAGGAATAAGGTGCGATTAAATTTCAATTAGCTGTTTATCTTTTATTTTTAGCCTGAGTGTCCTTTATGCAGAGATGAAGTTCAACAACAAAATCTGGTTGCTTTAAAGAATTATTGCTGAACTTACGAACATATGATTGGTTAAAGACACAGTTTAAATATATATTTGATTGGTTAAGGCTACACAATTTGTAAAATCTGATTGGTTGAAGCTGCATAACACTGCTTAGTAAAATCTAATTGGTTTATCCTACGGTACATGACACATCTTTTTGAACTCTGATTTGTCTAAGGTTGCAGGCACAACTTTAATATAATTGGGTAAATGGTAAGCATATTGGATATGTAAAAATTAATATGTATAGTTTTTGAGACTGATGTATTGAAGAAAGCAACATCCATTTTTAATAAATAAGCAAATTTAGAAAGCATTGGAGAGACTTGGCATTGATTCCTACTGACTTGAATTATACAAAGTGGTTCTTTACAGTTCATTTGCGGTGGTACTGGGTAACTATTTTAGAGAATAAGTAAGATAGCAACATTCGCTAACACTTACCACTATTTTTAATGGTGATCTGTGTAGGACGATGATTGATAAAACTTGAAGAACAAAACCTGTTTCAAAGGTCAATGTACTGCATGATATCAACAGGTAAAAATTGTCGTATTCGAATGGGAACTTTTGTGCTCAACGGAAAATCTGTTAAGTAATTTTCATATTCAGTTGTTGAATAACTTTTCCGTTGCGTTTTTACTGAATGTTTGAATTACTTTGTTGAGTTTGTACTAAACGTGGCTAACATACTCAACCGAATAAGTCCCAATCGAATATGCCAATTGTCTACTTGTTATGTGCAGTTAAAAAAATCATTTTTTATCAAACGAAATGTATTATAAATTTGTTTTTGTTTTTATACAATGACAAGCTTTTTAAAGTGACCTGCTCGCACCTGGTAATTATACATTTACCTTGCTGCAGTCAGGCATAACAAATCCTCAAAAGCACAGGTAGTGCCTCTACGCTATTACAG